GACACACTTTAATTACCTATCATTCAATCACTTCAACTGCTATAATCTTCGTTAATAATCCAAGATAATCACTATTGACTATATTATCCTCGTCTATTAAATTAACAACAACAACAAGACAAAAACAACAACAAAACAAAACACTATCGAGTATTTGTTTTATTTGTTTTTGTTTGTTTGTTTGTCCTTCATTCTGTAATTTATTCAAGTTATATTGTTTAGGTGCTTGCTCCCCTCCGCCGGGATTACCACCATACAAACAAACACACACACACACACACACACACACACACACACATACACACACACACCGAGGATTTTCTAATATTGACGTATAAATAATTACACACCAAAGATATACTGAAGCCACATCATACTTAAAACTGATTATCATACACACGAAGGTAATTCATACATAACTCATACTCCAACACACACGCACATAACTCCACTGGGACGCTGAACACAAAGAGTTTTTAACTTCTTATAATTATATTTTTTAAGCAATTAATTATACACAGGGTGAGGAGTAAACATTGGTGATTGAGCAACATTGTACTTGGGACCAGTTTCAGACTTCTTCCACACCTCTTCCAGATTACTCTAAGGTGACATAAAGGGTTTCCGGGCAGGTAGAATAATTCCACACCTCCTACTGTATACTTTTTATCCTCTTCACCACTGATCGACTCGTTAGCCGCCCGGGTGATCGGTTACGTCTCTGTTTACGCACTGTTGGCAAGTACTGGGCATGCACCGGCTCCTGAATGTACCTGAACCTGCTCCAGTGTTGGTCAAGTCTTGTCTTGAAAGAGCTCACACTCGGTGCCGTCACAACACTCACTGGTAGATTGTTCCAAGAGTTCACAATTCTCACTCCGAAAAAATTACACCTCACAGTTTTCTGGAATTGTGGCTTCTTCAACCTTGAGCTGTGACCCCTTGTGGGGCGAGCGGCCGCCAGCTCCAGGTATGTACATTTGCCCTTTGCCCGTCTGTAGTATAAGCTAGGCATTTGCAAACATTCTAATCTCTCTGAGTAGCTGAGGTTCCGTAGAGCAGGCACCAGTCTGGTGGCCCTCCTTTGGACATTTTCAAATAGAGTAATCCCTCACCTCCCGCAGTACAGGTAGACTAATCCCTCACCTCCCGCAGTACAGGTAGACTAACCCCTCACCTCCCACAGGACAGGTAGACTAATACCTCGCCTCCCGCAGGACAGGTAGACTAATACCTCACCTCCCGCAGTACAGGTAGACTAATCCCTCACCTCCCGCAGGACATCACGATAGAGTGGTACGTGAGGATGTACTGGACGGACTATCGCCTCCAGCCGCCCTTCCACCTCTTCACAAACTCCTCCCGCTGGGTCAACATAGATCCGGCCTTGACCTCACGCATGTGGCTCCCGACTGTTTATATAGGTCAGTCTCCCACCTAACCTAACCTAATCTAACCTAACCTTTGTTATCGTTCCAATATTCTGCAGACGTCATCCATATTCTTCCAAGTGACAAAATTCTTATTTTTTTATATCTTATTTGATTCTATGCGAAGTTTTTATCTTTTGTTGCTTTCGTTGACCTTTGGCTATCGCTTGGTGACCTCGGGGTGACCTGAGCAGATCACGTGAAGGTCATCTCTGTGCCCTCACTACTCAAACGACCACACTCCCTCAGGATGACTGCCCAGGGCCTCCTACGTTACTCCATCGCGTGAGTATAATAATAATAATAATAATAATAATAATAATAATAATAATAATAATAATAATAATAATAATAATAATAATAATAATAATAAGAATAAGAATAAGAATAAGAATAAGAATAATAATAATAATAATAATAATAATAATAATAATAATAATAATTATCCTTAGTTTTAAAGACGTTTTTTCTCTTTACCGATGCTACGAACTTTTGTCTGTGTTGATGTGTCACGTTCTGGTGGTTGTGTGTCTGCTGCTGGCGTCTGCCGTGCTGATGGTGTCTGCCGTGCTGCTGGCGTCTGCCGTACTGATGGTGTCTGCCGTGCTGATGGTGTCTGCCGTGCTGGTGGTGTCTGCCGTGCTGCTGGCGTCTGCCGTACTGATGGTGTCTGCCGTGCTGATGGTGTCTGCCGTGCTGGTGGTGTCTGCCCTGTGCTGCTGTAGGGGTGAGATCACCAAGCTTGCCTGCCCTATGGACTTCATTGGCCTATCCTTTCGACAAGCAGGGTGTGCTGCATAAAGTTTGAGGATGTGGGCACCCAGCGACACACACACACACACACACACACACACACACGCACACACACACGCACACACACACACACACACACACACACACACACATACACACACACACACACACACACGCACACACACACACACGCACACACACGCACACACACACACACACACACACACACACGCACACACACACACACACACACACACACACACACGCACACACACACACACACACACACACACACACACACACACACACACACACACACACGCACACACACACACACACACACACACACAGTAAACATGTTGTTCCTTGACTAGTTTATGGCTGTGTAAATAAAGATAGATAAAAATAACATTGATTATGGGTTAGGTTAGGTTAGATTAGGTTAGGTTAGGGTAGGTTAGGATAGGCTACGTTAGGTTACGTTAGGATAGGCTACGTTAGGTTAGGTTAGGTTACGTTAGGTTAGGATAGGTTACGTTACGTTAGGATACGTTAGGATAGGTTACGTTAGGTTAGGATAGGTTAGGATAGACTATAGGATCAATGTCAAGTGTGATTAACCTTAAGGTGAAATAAAACTGGGGTGACCTAATCATCAGGTGTCATATCTTAATTACTGTTCGGTTATTAACACGTTGTGACCTTCGGCAGATCACTACAGGCTGTTTGAGGTGAACTACAGCTGGCATAAGTACGGGATACAGGTCAGCGAGGACATCAGGACTGACCACTTTGCCTCTACCTTCTCCATAGACGAGGGACTTACCTCTAGCCACGACAACTGTACGATACATTCTGCTCCTATGTGCTCTCTCGTACACTGCAGTAATACATTGTTGTACTCTGTTGATTGTCGTACATCTGTAGTTGTTGTTGTTGTTATTATTGTTGTTTCCTGCCACCACTCTACCACTACCTTCCCCTACCACTACTTAACCACCGTTCTACCACCATCGTTCCCTACCACCACTGTTCCCTACTACCACTGTTCCCTACCACCACTGTTCCCTACCACCACTGTTCCCTACCACCACTGTTCCCTACCACCACTGTTCCCTACCACCACTGTTCCCTACCACCACTGTTCCTCACCACCACAACACACTACCACACCTACCACCACTGTTCCCTCCCACCACTAAATTTCACACACCTCACTGACTAACACTGTCACCACTCTACCACCATTGTCTCTACCACCACTGGAATTCCTCACACCACTGCCTCAACACCACTCTGCACCACCACTGGTTCCCCACACAAACCTCACCACCACTGCCCCACCACCACTGTTCCCCACCCCACCACCACTGGCCCTCACCACCACTGGACCTCAACACCACCCCACCACCACTGCCCCACACTGACTCTGCACCACCACTGTTCCCACCACCACTCCCTACCACCACCAACCTCTACCACCGTCTCAACACTGACTCTACCACCATCACCCTACCACCACCACCTCACCACCACTGTTCCCTACCACCACTGCACCCCACACACTCTACCACCACTGTTCCCCACCACCACGTCTCACCACACTCTGCACTGACCACTGACCCCACCACCACTGAAACCTCACACTCCACCACCACTGGTCTCACCACCACCACCTCACCACCACTGTCCCCACCACCACTGAAACCTCACCTCTACCACCATTGAGCCTTACCACTGATTGAAACTTCACCACCATCAGTTCCCTCACCACCACTGTTAATACCTCCTACAATACAACAGATAGATAGACAGGCAGACAGATAGATATAGACAGACAGACAGACAGACAGACAGACCAGCACCCCCTCTCCACTAATATCATCTCCTCTCAACAGCAACATATCCGTACGTACAAATAAGAATCGACATGACGAGAAAGCTAAGTTACCACCTCATGAACACCTACATCCCCTCTGGCCTGTTTGTGATCGTATCTTGGCTCACGTTCCTCATTCCTCCTCATCTGGTGCCTGGGAGGATGGTGCTCACTATCACTACACTTCTCACTATGGTGTCTACCTTTAATACTGTCAGGTGAGTGGTCTGTTGTGGTCGATACATATATACATGTTTATATTCAGTACATACATACATATATTACATACATACATACATACATATATACATACATACATACATACTTTATCTCAACTCTCAGGTGTGTCCAGGTGAGACATCCAATTAGTGTATCACCTCAGTTTATTGTAATGCCAATTATTATGTCATACTAATAAATAATAAATTAATGATAGTCTAAGGCTGTTTTAATACTTCATAAGAAATTAAATTAAGGTGTGAGAGTAATTATTGACAGGCAGGAGAGTCCAAAGGTGTCATACGCCAAGGCCATCGATATGTGGATGTTTTGCTGCATTATCCTGGGCTTCCTGGTGCTGGTGGAATACACGGTGGTGGTGCGTCTCATACTGGCCCCCAAGACAGTCAAGGTGTTATCCCATGACCCTGCTACACAACTTGAGGTCAGACTCTACTTTATACATCACTTGTAGAACATGACTGTAGATATTATTAAAGAATGGGTGAAGATAGAGACAACTGGAGGAGTTTTGTATGATGTAAAAATCTTGATATAGTCGAGACATATGTTTAACTTTATAAAAACATATCATTAAGCTTCAGTTGTAATGGCAGCCCTGAGAAGTATTTATTTATTTATTTATTTATTTATCACTCCATCACTTACTAACCATCCAGGAAATTGTTCTGTTCATTGTTTCTTTATTATTTATTACCCAGAGTTAGTACAGTAGAAAACACTGAATAACACCCTTCTCATATAGGTACCAAGCCGGGGATTCAACCCAGGACACAATGGTGAGATATACAAAAATCTGACTCGCCTTTTCTCCACCAGGGTCCGTGTAAAAGCTGCAAGAGGTCACCCAAGTTGGAGCAGAGATCACCAGTGACTCACAGGTCTCTCTCCGTCAAGCTGGAGACTTACACACCCCTCGTACTGTGCATTATGTTCATCATGTTTAATCTTATATACTGGCCATATTGGGTCCACCATGGCAGCAACTATGACAATTAAGTGGGCGTGTGTGGTGGTGACTGTGGGGTAGTGTGGTGGTTGACTGTGGGGTAGTGTGGTGGTTGACTGTAGGGTAGTGTGGTGGTGACTGTAGGGGTAGTGTGGTGGTGACTGTAGGGGTAGTGTGGTGGTTGACTGTGGGGTAGTGTGGTGGTTGACTGTAGGGTAGTGTGGTGGTTGACTGTAGGGTAGTGTGGTGGTTGACTGTAGGGTAGTGTGGTGGTTGACTGTAGGGTATGTGGTGGTGGTTGACTGTAGGGTAGTGTGGTGGTTGACTGTGGGAGTGTGTGGTGACTGTGGGTGGTGGTTGACTGTGGGGTGGTGTGGTGGTGACTGTGGGGTGGTGGTGGTTGACTGTGGGGTAGTGTGGTGGTGACTGTGGGGTGAGGTGGTGACTGTGGGGTAGTGTGGTGGTGACTGTGGGGTGGGTGGTGACTGTGGGGGTGACTGGTGGGGTGTGTGTGGTGACTGTAGGTGTGGTGGTGACTGTGGGTAGTGTGGTGGTGACTGTGGTGGTGGTGGTGACTGTAGGGTAGTGTGGTGGTGTGTGGGGTAGTGTGGTGGTGACTGTGGGGTGGTGTGGTGGTGTGACTGTGGGGTAGTGTGTGTGGTGGTTGACTGTGGGGTAGTGTGGTGGTGACTGTGGGGTGGTGGTGACTGTGGTAGTGTGACTGTGGGGTGGTGTGGTGGTGACTGTGGGGTGGTGTGTGGGTGGTGACTGTGGGGTGTGGTGGTGACTGTGGGGTGTGGTGGTGTGGTGGTGACTGTGCAGTGTGGTGGCTGACTGTAGGGCAGTGGGGTGGTGTGGTGGTGACTGTGGGGTGGTGTGGTGGTTGACTGTGGGGTGGTGGTGACTGTGGGTGGTTGGTGGTGGTGGCTGTGGGGTGGTGTGGTGGTTGACTGTGGGGAAGTGTGGTGGTGACTGGTGGGACTGTGGGGTGTGGGTGGTGACTGTGGGGTGTGTGGTTGACTGTGGGGGAAGTGTGGTGGTGACTGTGGGGGTAGTGTGGTGGTAACTGTGGGGTGTATGGTGGTTGACTGTGGGGTAGTGTGGTGGTTGACTGTGGGGTAGTGTGGTGGTTGACTGTGGGGAAAGTGTGGTGGTGACTGTGGGGTGGTGTGTGGTTGACTGTGGGGTAGTGTGGTGGTTGACTGTGGGGTAGTGTGGTGGTGACTGTGGGGTAGTGTAGTGGTTGACTGTGGGGAAGTGTGGTGGTGACTGTAGGGAAGTGTGGTGGTGACTGTGGGGGAGTGTGGTGACTGTGGGGTAGTGTGGTGGTGACTGTGGGGACTCTGTGGTACATGTTATTTATATTCCAACAAAAGTAACATTTCAATAACAATAACAGAGTGAACATACATAGATTCTGGTGATTTTGTAGTTTTAGTAACACATAAGTAAAAAGAAATAGTGATTTATACAATATATTAACAATTATATGGTGTAGTGTAGTGTAGTGCCCAGACTGTACACACACACACACACACTGTACACACACACACACACACACACGCACACACTGTACACACACACTTTACACACACACACACACACACACACACACAAACACTGTACACACACACACACACACAAACACTGTACACATACACACACTGTACACTCACACACACACACACTGTACACACACACACATTCACTCTTCTGGTAAAAGTAATCAGTCAAGTTACCACACACTGTATAGATCAATGTTATAAATTAATGTATCCTGTACTGCTGAATGTTTGTATTAGAAGAGAAATATTATATAGATATTACCTTACTATACATATTACTTAAAGGAGGCGGATTACTGAACTAAATTATGTTATTTTTCATGTCAACAAAATAAAAATACTATATGCAATAAACCCCTCTAATTACTTTATTTTACTACGGTGTTGTTATTTGAGTCAAACCACAGAGAGGGTTTTCCTTCACACTGGGTTGATGTTCGTTGAAAAAATATGAAAGAAAATGGGTGTAAACGTCCGTGTTCGTGGTATTTCTGTAACATTAACAACTGTGTTTACCTTGGTGATCGTGGTAGTATATCCAGGCTGAGAGACACAAGGGCTTATACGACACTTCTTCCTCTATATTGGTGAGTTTTATATAGTATAGGTGTATATGAATTAGTTTTTTGTTATATATAAATAGAAAATAAGAATCTAGTGAGTAGAAAATTGGTAGATTAGTGTGTATAGTCGTCTAGTTAATGATGGTGTAGGGGTATCGAGATATTAAAGTTGTCTAGCACTCAGGATGGAAGGAAACTCTAATGTGGTTTTCTTGTATAATATATAAGTTATATGATAGACAGTTTGGTGCTGGAGGTGCTGTGTGGTGAGGGGCTGCTTGGTAGAGACGTGCGGTGAGTAGCTTGTTGAAGGAGGTAGATGTGCAGGAGCTTCGTTAGAGAAGATGTTGCCTGTTGCTGGCCTCCTGGTTGAATGAAATGTTAACAGCGTGGAGCTTGCTGGAGGAGATGTTGCTTGTTCAGGAAAATGGGCAGAATGAATCTCAATGGAGAGACAGAGCTTATATACACCCAGCAGCAGCCGCCAGTCCTCTATGAGTCATGTTGGGAAAACCCGAGAAGTAGCCGGTGACTAGTTCCGTTGCTAAGATACGGTAACATCTGGGGACAGCTCTCGCTTGGTTGCTAGGGGAGGCGGCACATTGGAATGCGATACGCAGTTTGTAGGGGAGACGTCCACTACAATGGTCATAAAAATGGTTGAAATTGCTTATAACCCCCTTAACCTTTATGGTAAATTCGTTAGACAGTTGATGTAACGAGCTCTCAGAACCTTTAATACATTATTGTACAGATGCTGGGATGAACAGATGATCCCCAGTGGCTAGAAATAATCATACGTCTTATGTTAAAGAAGGGTGATGGCCACTCTCCGGTACTTTATCCTCGTCACCACTGATCGGTCTGTTACACACTGTTGGCAAGTACTGGGCATGCAGGCACCAGTCTGGTGGCTCTCCTTTGAACTTTTCAATCAACTGACAGTCTATCTCCTGCTTCTGAAGAGCGTTATGTACGACCTTCTTATAAAACCTACTAGCTTGATTGGAGGCGACTTCAGTGTACAATATTTAGCTCGTACATATCTAGTACTTGCCAACAGAGACGTGACCGACCGCCCAAGTGGCTAACAGACCGATCAGTGACGAAGAGGATAACGTATAAATTAAAGTAAGGAATTGTGTCAAGCAGGAGAGACGGGCGTCAAGGTGTAGAACCACGCTGGCATTTCTTTTCAAAGTTGTTTCGTGGTCTCAGGAAGTTGACCAAACAAGGATACAATATACTGTACTCTGAGATTCTTGCGTGACTCCAGGCTGTTAAGGCGCAAACTAGCTAATGTCTTATATAATTATTCATATTAAACTTAGCTTTTCTGGTCAATTCTTGGCGCCAGGAATTATGGTTACCGTATTTTTCATATTTTCTTTCGTAAACTTATTTTCAAAATACTTTATCAAGTCGATTTTTATTATCTAACTGATCAAATTTCTTGAGATAAATACATATTTGTAGATTGTAATTTTCCCACCTTTATAAGTCTTACTCCTGCCCGGTGGATGACGCCAAGTTATTTCAGGAAATCAAGAACCAAACAGACTGTGAAGAGCTGCAGGATCTCTGTGAGGTACAAGAATGGTCGAAGAAATGGCTGCTGAGATTCAATGTCACGAAGTGTAAAAGGATGCACCTGGGGCGTACCAACGGTAAGGAGGCGTATCATATGTCCCAACGGGATGAAGAAACTGCACTAGTTAAGACTGTGTGTGAGAAGGACCTAGGTGTGTATGTTGACAATGAGCTGAAGTTCTCGGCCATTGCGAGAAGAAGGTAAATCAGGCAAATAAATTATTGGATCTTATAAGAAGGTCGTTCAGATATCAAGAGTGAAATGCTTCCCCATCTGGGGTACTGTCACCCTGTCTGGTCCCCGAGATGTGCTAGGGACTATCAGTTGGTTGAAAATCTTCAAAGGAGGGCCACCAGACTGGTGCCTGCACTTCGGCACCTCAGCTACCCTGAGAGTTTGGAGCGCCTGAACTTGCCTACCTTATACTACAGACGGGCAACGGGTGGCCTAGTTGAGGTGTATAAGCATCTCAGAGGGCACTACTCAGTCGAGTGTCCTTACTTGGAGCTGGCGGACGCTCGCCCCACAAGGGGTCACAGGTCAAGATTGAAGAAGCCGCAAGTCCAGAAAACTGTGAGGGCAAACTTTTTCGGAGTGAGAATTGTGAACTCTTGGAACAATCTACCAACACTGGAGCAGGTTCAGGTACATTCAGGAGCCGGTGCATGACCAGTAATTGCCAACAGTGTGTAGCAGAGACGGGACCGATCGCCCAAGCGGCTAACAAGCCGATCTTTTGGTGAAGAGGATAACAGTAAAAGTAAAAAAGGAAGCTGCTTGGAGAGCTGTACCAGGTAAGGAAATCATGATAAGTGGTGAAAATAAAAAGAGAAATGGCAGTAGAGGATATGTGGCAGGCAATAGAAAGTACAGACATTGGAATTAATTTTTAAACTGTCAAAAGTAACAAGTCGCAAAGCTAACATTTTTTAAATCAGTGAGAATCAATAGCATTAAAGTGATAAAAGTAAATAAATTGAGAGGAATGACTGACTGTGAGCTGTACTATGGTATGCTTTAACTAATAACGCGAAGTGACTTCTACAATATTAACATTAGCAAAAACACGATATAAATTGGTTATTTCTGTAAATAAATCGTAATATATGCTTAATATTATAACTGAAATTATTTTTATGCATATATTATTTAGGAAAGTTCAGATACATTCTGGCACCAGTACTTGCCAACAGAGACGTGACCGAGAGAGGATAAAGTTAATAAAAAGTAACACATGAAAAATATTAACTTTGAACGAGTTTATATTTATTGTACCGGATTTAAACAAACATTCAAATCCGACTGCCAGGTACTTAAATACAGGTAGTACAGGTTTAATAGTTATCTCTTAATTAACACAGCGTCGTCATTATACACATGTGGGTTTTTTTCCGGTTGTTCGGCCATCTTGTGTACCCTCCAACTCTTTCCTCCCCACTTTAAAGAAGTCAAATCTCTTTTTATATAACTTTTGTTGAGGTTTTATTAATTTGGAATAAAAAGTCGACATAATAATTATCTCTTTACGTATACCGGATGTTGATCAAGACTTTGCTTCAGTGTAGAGTAGGGCCGGAGATGGAATTAATTAATTATTTAATTGAAATGTGGAATTTGGACATGCAACTTCATATTAAATACACTGATAATAAACTAACCATAAAACATTCAAATGATTTAACTAAGGCTGTAGTTATTTAGTTAGTTTTTAAAAGATGTTTTCGCACTTCAGGAGGACCCACGTGAAGCTCTCAATGTAAACAAACTCGCACCTCTTACATGTTGCTTCACTAATTACCCATCAAAATGAGGTCATTCATCCCAAATTTTGTGAGTTAAATCTGGTGCAAAGTTTCAACGTAACCCGTGAGTCTGTAGTGTGTATAATAATAGGTGGCAGGAGTCTTGCTTGAAGAGGTAGTGTGGGGTAGTGGCTCCTTATGTTAGTGTGGGGGTCACCTGTAGTGGTACCACCTTAATACCAGTGTGGGGTTACCTGTAGTGGTACCACCTTACTACCAGTGTGGGGTTACCTGTAGTGGTACCACCTTACTACCAGTGTGGGATCACCTGTAGTGGTACCACCTTACTACCAGTGTGGGGTTACCTGTAGTGGTACCACCTTACTACCAGTGTGGGGTTACCTGTAGTGGTACCACCTTACTACCAGTGTGGGGTTACCTGTAGTGGTGGTACCACCTTACTACCAGTGTGGGATCACCTGTAGTGGTACCACCTTACTACCAGTGTGGGATCACCTGTAGTGGTACCACCTTACTACCAGTGTGGGGTCACCTGTAGTGGTACCACCTTACTACCAGTGTGGGATCACCTGTAGTGGTACCACCTTACTACCAGTGTGGGGTTACCTGTAGTGGTACCACCTTACTACCAGTGTGGGGTTACCTGTAGTGGTACCACCTTACTACCAGTGTGGGGTTACCTGTAGTGGTACCACCTTACTCACAGTGTGAGGTTACCTGTAGTGGTACCACCTTACTCCCAGTGTGAGAACCATACGAAAAGGGTAAAAATTTCACTTGTCACTAAACGAAATTGAAGTTAAAACTATGTTTTTCATGTTGTTTTTGATGTGTTTTGAACGAATTTAACCTTCATTTCTGGCACAAATCAATACCTTATGAGATTGCCCCCCGCCCCCATCTCAAAAATCTAGAGATTTTTTTTATAAAAAATGAAAGAAATATATGGTAAAAAATGTTAGACACAGAAAACCACCGGAAAAACAGTTTGGTCAGTTTATATTAGTGCACCGTTCTATCTCACTGTGTTAGAGATAATTTTTTCCGAATGTTTAAACAATTCTAAGACATTTTTCTCCTATGATTTTTGTCGTAAATTTAGTTTAGGTTAGGTTGTTTTTTGGTGAGTTTTTATGTTTTTTTTTTTACAAAGAAAAAGGTAGTAGGATAAGTTAGGTTATATTTATTTTTGTGTTAGAAATATCATAGAAGAAATACGTCTTAGAATTGTCTTAACATTCGGAAAAACATATTTCTAACACCGAGAGAAAGAACAGTGCACTAATATAAATTGACCAACAGTTTTGAATCTAACCTAACTTAACTGGGGAACTCCACAGTCGTGCAATGTTCTGGGTGTGTACCGCCATGTATGAACATACATAATAAAATGTTAGATATCTCGCTTAAACGTAATTTGCGCCAGAAATGCCATTGAAGAAAAGTGTCTTAGGATTGTCAAAATTACGGTTTGCAATTGTAAAATTCCGAGGTTCGTTTAGTGGTAACAAGTGAAATAATACCTGGAAATTTTTCTTTTTTTTTATGGAAAAATCAAAACCAGACAACTATCATAAATTGACCCAAGTTTTTAAGTGAACTGTTTGTTCCTTAACATTATCACAACAGACACTTGCAGTAAACTGACACTTTTGGCATACCTTTGGCTAGCTGCCAAAGGCTGGCTGACTCAGGTAAGACCGTCATGATGTTGACATAACAGAGGAACCGTACATGTATATCTGGTGTTATGAAACCACGACCGCTCGTCATCAAAACTAACTATGCTTCATATTAGTTAAATTAAAAAATTTCAGAAGCACTTCGCATATTGATGGTTCTTGTAAATAAAAACACTGTGCCAGTTGTCTACTCAACAATGCCATAGGTATTTGGGCGGCCTCCAACTGTTGACAGACTCCTACCCTGAGTCAGTGACCAACTCACCCTGAACACTAAGTAACATATCTAACCTGACCGAACCTAAAATGGTATTAATAGTCTTACGGCCACTTTCCATGTTTGCTTAAGAAATAAATTTATCGTCGTCTTCTACTCCAATTTTGTTTTAAGTTACTGCTGCAGCTGTTGTGTCTTAGAGAGTATGAAACATTTAGAGTTTTGCTCACATAATAACTGACTAAAGTCCAGAAAACAGGATGGCTTTGTCTAGTAGACAATAGGCTCAGAGCATCTTTATTTACGAGAGAAACTTTGGAAAAAATTGTTATTCCTCCATTTGATTAAGTGAATACTTGACAAGAGCACAGTACAGTACAATGGGTCAACATGTAAGATATATACAGTACAGTACACCCGTGCCATTCGGTATTTCGACGATTTGTAGTAAGCAGATGGTGGCTAGCTTGCAAACCTTTTCCCACAGCACGACGAATCACCCCGCGCAGCATCTCGTGTTATACTGTACTCTCAAAACATTAGTGTTTCTGTGTGAAGTGGCCCCTAAAAGAGTTCCTAGTGTCAGTGCTAGTGAAGGGAATTAATGTAAAAGGCAGAAGTCAGTGATGACCCTGACAAAGAAAGTTGAATTATTAGATAAGTTAAAAGAGGGGTTGAGTGCTGCCACGGCTGGTCAGTTGTTTGGTATAAGTATACAGTAGTGTACTAAGGTAGTTTAAGTTGCTATTCGCGGTTTTGCCAATTCGCTCCATTTCTTGGGACCCATCCCTTGTGAATGGCAAGGGTCTACTGTATAAACAATGCCATAAATGTGTCAAAATTGTCCCCTACAATATCTCAATTTTCTTTGTTCTGTTTTGATGGTAGTGGATATTTTGCCGTGACTGGCTAAGTTTCTACTAACGCTATTTTACCGTGAGTGTGTTCTGATTGGCTAATCGTCCATTACTGGCGAATAACGCAAGAACTACCGGGTGTATTTGACTGTGATTCTGGCGGCATTTGGCATTTATTTAGCCGTGAGTCAATCGTTGTGTAGCTGAAGACATACTTAACCATCTTTCTGTGATACATGAAACTTGTCATTATAAGGGGCCACATTTATTAGAACCTAATAGAACCTGACCTAACCTACCTAACCTTACCTAACTTCTTAGCCGAGGGGCCGACCCCTGTCCTATTAAACAGAAAGTATTAAGCCAATCAGAGCGTATTCACAGTAAAACAACATTACAGTAGTAGGAACTTAGCCGGTCACGACAAAATATTCACTGCATTTGATGTTCAGTATTTATGGTGAGTATACAAGTAATTATACATTTATTGATTCTGTGCACTGTAATGATTTATTCAGTTACTCTACTTTATCTTTGGTGTTTAGTTTGGTTAGTTATGGTTGGGTAATTTGTTCCCAGGAATGCATCCTCCATTTATAGCACTACAATACAGATGCTCTCCTACTTATGAATGAGTTGTGTTCCTGAGGCTTGTTTGTAAGCCAACTGAACTGTATATTGTACTGTATGGTAACAATTATAAAGATAAAGGATGTACAGTACAGTACATACAGCTAAACCCCAACCTGTAATAATATTTTAATGTATGAATATTTAATTTAAAATATGAATTATCTTTTGGACCTATGGACAGGTTTGTTCATATCTCTGAAAGTTCCTAAGTAGAGGAGTGCTGTACCTGTACATGTGTATGAGTATTTACACATCCTTGTCATATAATGAGGACTGGTTGTACAGTATCATTATGCTCAGTAGATACATGATCATCTTACTGAGTCATCATTCTTGTGCTGCAGGAGGAACCCCCAGAATCTGACGACTCAGGGGACGAGGTCCCTGTAGGGGGAGTGTTCCAGATGGTTGCTCTGGATATTGACGCTGACGACCCCACCGAAGACGACGACACAGACCATCAAGACAACAACATGGCCGGTGTACATACAGATGGTGATGACTCTCACAACCCCCGTGATGATGACGCTAATGATAATGAGGTACAGTATATAGCGGTCCTCTTACTCTGTTCTTCCACAGCATCAGTTTTGTCATGGTTGAGTTACATTTGGGTGGTACTGTCATAAGAGCTAGGCTGCCAAGTGATAGTAAAATGGTCTTGGGATGCTAAAGAATGTCATAGGCCTCAATACTGTGAAAGTTAGGGATCTTAGAGCGACCACAATTGTTCCTCATCATCAGCCTGACATCATGTACAATTTATCTAATGCTTCTGTAATACCACAAGTTGTTGTAGTATTATTGTTGAAATTTTTTTTTACACATTAACCACTTCACTACAGGGATGTCACTTAATATTTATTTTTTTTGGTTAATGTCAGATGATTTTATTCAGTTCAGGGGGGAACCTGTACACAAGGGTTTAAAATAAAGATGTCATTAACTGAAAAACTTTGTGAACTTTATGGTTGGACCTGTCATCACTAACATTTATTGGTGATGACAGCAATAAATATCAGATAGGTGGTGTCCTCACATGTTCTAACCAGCTACTGTACTGTATCAGGGTTTGTGTGGCATTAGATAGGGCCTCAAGAAAATATGATGATATGTATTACCTTAATCTTCCACCTAATTCAAGAATATATATTGTTTTTCTGTTACATAGGAGGGGAGTACAGTATTAATGTATACAGTAGTGGTTAGAGTACCAGCCTACGTATAGTCATATGTGTCACTGAAACAATGTTGGATCATGTGAAGTTTAGACACCCCACTTTATTATATCTGAGGACTGTTCCAGGCACCACTGCCAGTTTGTGTTCCAGGTAGCATATGTCCCACCATTGCCCACTTCATTTTTCCAGCATGGATATTTGTTAATCCACCAATGTAACTAGTTGTGAAATGTCAAGTACTAATCCCATCTGATAGTCACACTGTACTAGCTGGTGTTCCCACCAGATGGCACCTTGTAATTTCTGTTTATACTGTAGTTGTTTTTAGTTACAGTATAGTCTTGATTTACACGGCCAATTGAACCCGTGGAGGTCCGCGTAAAACGAGAAACGCATAAACGAAATAACAGAACATATGGGATTAATTGAAATAGAGACTGGGCCGACCCCCAAACTCCACTTTCCGACACAATACGTACGTTGTGGTAAAAATAACATCTTAATTTTATGATGGTATGCACACACAATTAATATTTAAGAGAAATATCAATAATATTAGGTTTTTTAACACTTACGTTAGTAGAAAAGATGGCTGGGCACACGGGGATGGGGGGTTGGTTCCGAGGCAGAGGGCAGATTATTGGCCCTCACCTGTATCACTTGTATCAATTGTATCACTATGCACCCCAGAGGCTTGCAGGGCCTCTTTGTCAAACCCCTCAAAGTCCATATCCTCACTCTCACTATCACTGACTTGGGCCGGCTGTGGCGGGTGAAGAACTCGGTAATGTTTTGTTGACTGGGCGACCTTGTGCGCACCCTGCCTGCGCCGCTTCCCGCGTAAATGATGAAACGAACCGTGTAAATAAAAATTTTCGGTCTGGCAAGGTGCCGCGTAAATGACCAAACGCGTAAACCAAATCAGCGTAAATCGAGACTATACTGTACTGTACTTAATGTTCACACAAACACTGTCTGACTTCTCTATTTGTTTACCAAAATGTATGCACTCTGTATTGCTTTCAATGGCGAATCAACCGTCTGTTGTGGGTGAGATACAGGGGTTAAGTGCACTGAGGGCTGGGCACTTGGTGATGACCTGTGCAAATCAGAGGTGCATAGAGGACACGGGAATGTCTTACAGCGCGTGGGAAGGGAATGATAACCTATACTTTGCTGTTTATCTAGTTAATTTGGGGAGTGTAAATTATACAAATGGTACATGTATATAGCCCATATTTATATAAGTACAGTACCTCAGTCTCTTTGTTGACAGAGGCTAATACTTGACTAAATACCTAAATAATAACTTAACCAACCCCTCTAGGTAGTGTTAGAGTGTTTAATCATCATGTGAAATAAGCTGGCTGGGGTGCCTGATCTTCACAACATGATCCCATAAAGTTTACTCTTATCTGTTAAAATACTTCATAAGTTTTTAGCAATGTGTGTGAAAGTCTTCCCTCCTCTCCCCAATGTCACTAGGAAGAAGGTTCTCGGTGACCTCTCTACAGTACATGTGATAGTTTTATTCCCTGAAGCTTACATGACTCGAGCTTTCGTAAGTTGAGGGACACTTGTACTGTATTATGCAAAGTGTCTAAAAAATGTATACGGACTGCCTTACAGATTTTCATGACTATCGTGTGAATGAATTACAACAGCAACAAGTGAGGTCAGTGTTGCTACTGTTATGTCATCCTTCAAGCGATTGCCACACAATATGTAAGACAGTGAATATGCTTTTTACTGGGTCACCTGACACTTTGTCCCCCTCCCCCCCCCCACCAGCTTATTTCGTTTGAAAGTTAACCACTCTAATGCTAACCTGACTTTAAGCTAACCTAACCTGACCATTTTAACTTAATCTAATGATACCTCATGTAATCTAACCCAACCCAATTCAATTCAATTCAGTCCAATCCCCTTAGGTGGCATTAGGGTGTTTAATCCAAAGGTGTGATAAGCTAGGGGGCTAATCTTTGCATAACCCCATTTAGTATATGTTAACTATATCAGGTGTTTGTTGTTGCAGGAGGGTGACAACATGAGTGAGGTAGGTACTGTAGTGTTCAAGTAGTAGTGATGCATTGTGTTAGTAAGTACGTGATCTTCTTTTGTTTTATTTTTAAAGTTATGGTTGTGAGAAAGGGAGAGACTTAAGGCATTTATTGTAAGGCGTTTTAAGATGCACGGAATAGCTAACGTGTCAGCTTTCCCAGACTGTCATTAAAAAATACGACATTATACCGCGTTTTGGGAATACAGTAACTTGTACAACACAGTCTTCAGAATACATTAAAATTAAGAGAACTGTTATTTGGACACAATACGGAATGAAGTAGTGAAGAAAATATATACAAAATTCTGGAAAGACAAAAAAGAAAAAATGTCAGTCAACAATAAATAAGAATAACACAAAAAATCAGGCCCACTGTAAAGGACTCAGAAACCACAAGAAACAACCAGAGAGCAGCTCTGATCTACGCTTCTTCTCTCGAGGCTGTGCTCACATACTTGTGCACGTAATACGACGAATTTCAGGTCTGTTAAAGTCTTTTTTTTACACTTACAGAACTGTTATCAACTTGTTCACCCTTATTTAAAGTATCTTATGAAGATTGATATTAAACTTTTAACCGTAATTGAGTAATTATCAATATTGTTACACCAAAGTCACCAACGGCTAATGAAATCAGACAGCGCCCACGTAAGAAGGGCGGAGCCTAAACAGGTTTCAACTAGGCTCAATCCTTTTCAATTCTTTCATGCTTTAATATACTACCATATATAGAATTATTTTTATTATTATATCACAGTTTTTTATTGCCTTACATGCCTCCAACTCTTCAATACAGTGTTAATCAAAATATTCTCCATAAGCGGCCATGATCCGTGTATTTTCAGTGGGAGAAATCACTGATTGGTTGTTAGCTGTTTGGGCCGCATAAGGCTAATGCCTGATCGTGGTGTTAGCTTTTCCCTCTGAACGTGTCATGCGCACAAGTCAAAAACAGCTTCTGCGCATAAAGAATAGCTAACGAGTTAGCTAATCCGTGCATCGAAAACGCCTTTAGTGTGTGTTTGCTTGAGACTGTGTGTGTGTGTGTTGTTTTTGTCTCCTAACTGGTAATAATTAAAGGGATCTTGATAAGGTAAAGTCTAACTGGGTTGTGATGATATTAATTATAAATTCTGACCTACCTTAATATTTGTGTTTTAGCTAAAGTCAACCAAGGGTGGAGGTTTATGGTGATTACAGGGCATAAAGGCATGTTAAGAATTTCATTACTAACGACACAAGAGTAAAGAACAACCCTGAAATTTGAAGGCAACTGGAAAAATACACAAGTGAATGGTGGTAGATGAGGAGAGTCGAGTGTTGGTGAAAAGTGATGAAATATGCCATCCACAATATAGTTAGATTTTCCTTACAACCATCCAGGAAGGTGTGCTGATACAGTGTAATGATCTTTCCAGATTGACAGTTCTTCATGTTCAGACAGTTCGGACACTTCTGACAGTTCCGAGACAGAAGCAACGATCGAGGATATATTCGGAGTTAAACCATCGTTGGAGGCACAGCGCAACCATCCGCCGGACCTGGAAACAGACTCTGGCATTGTGGACGTTTGCTTTCACCCGAACATCGAACTGCTCTCTGTTGCAACCATGGACGGAGAGGTTATGATGTGAGTATTGTGTCTGTGTGTGTGTTTCCTTACTATTGAAGGTTTGAAGGAGCATATTACACTGAGGTTGTTCATCTGTAAACGGAGTCCATTTCCAGATACAGTATAATACTTTCTGGTAAAAGTCCTATTTCTCATTTATCATTACTCACATCCCAATTGTGTTGGCCTTATCACTTCAATGTTTCTCATCTGTGTCCAGTTACTGGCTTCTCAACGGGATGTCTTTTCCGTAGATATCGATACAGTCGGGATAGTGTCGAAGAGGTAACGCGATTCTCACATCACAAGAAGCCCTGTCGAACTGTTTGTTACAATGGAGACGGCACCCTTCTCTACACTGTTAGTAAGGACAAGTCACTGGCTGTCATCGACACCCAAAACTCAGCAGTCAAAGAACACATAAAAGATGCCCACGAGTCGCCTATATTCAGCTTCCTTCCCATCGATGAAAACTTATGTGCCACGGGCGATGATGACGGAACAGTCAAGATCTGGGACTTGAGAAAGAAGAATTCAATCTTCGACTTCAGGTGTGGTGAACAAGCCGTGTCATCTCTTATTACAGATGAGAGTAAAAAGATTCTAGTTGCTGCAGTTAATGATGGATCAATTGCTGGATTCAATATCAGGGGAAAGCAGTTGGAGACACAGGTATGTTAGTTTTGTCCACCAGTATTATCTTCACATAGGGAATTAAGAGGTCTATGGCAGGGTGTATTGTAATTTCTAGCTTTACACTAAGGTAGGCTGCTCATTAGAGTTAAGTACAGCTTCAGTCTGGATGAGTAAAAACAAGTACAGCATTGCTAGACAAGTGTAATTTATAAACTCGTGTCCTGCGCTAGGTAACTTGGTCTTCCAGATTCTCTTGTGCTCATGTCAGATTTTCTCGGCAGTCAGAATTCTACGGAAGTGAGATGACGTCCCTCGCCTTGGTGCGGAATGACACACGTTTGGTCGTGGGGTCTGGAGAGGGAACACTCTTCATCTTCAAATGGGGAGAATTTGGCTTCCACATTGACCGTTTTGCTGGTCATCCAGACTATATCCACTGTATTATCCCCATCACTGATCGTATGATGCTGACAGGATGTGAAGATGGCAATATCAGGTAATTTATGGTGTGTGTGTGTGTTTGCCTGCGTGAGTTCTTGCATGTAACCTCAAGAATATTAATCAAAACTGATGTAACAACAATGCATTATCCTCAGAGCCGTGCACCTCTATGCTCATCGCTTCGTGGGGGTAGTTGGGCAACACAATGACTTTGGAGTGGAGAACATGTCAGTGTCCAGTGACGGCTCAATCCTGGCATCATGTTCCATGGATGAAGTTGTGCGCTTTTGGAACATCGAATATCTTTATAACACCGAAGTAGATGATCGCAAGAAGGTATGTGTAATACTGTACTGAAGAACCTCTTAGTTGTCCTCCTCAAGTGTTCTTAATATTTGAAGGTTTTTGGGGGGACTAACAGGCTATATGCCAAGTTGTATTAGTCAATTAACCACAACTTTTTTGTGTCAAGGAAGTGAGATTCTTCAAAAGTTGATGAAATGAGACAATTTTGAAGTTTTGTGTTGTTTTGCCACAAGTCAGAAGGAACTGTGGGGGAATAAAACTCTTGACAAGTGGAAATCTCTTTAGAAAGAATGCTTTAGTAATGCTCACTGACCCACACTCATAGTGTAATTTTGCATAAAGTAACCCAGTGTCCTTGACCTTTGTCCCTTTGATCTCAGAAATATAGTTCAACCAGAGTGTTTCAGGATAAACTGATGCATCCTAATTAAGAATTCTCCCTTTATCCTTTCTATAAATTAACTTGCACACAATGAAACAAGCAATGGTACCCTCTACTTGACCCAGCTCTGTTAGTGTGGGCATATGTATAAAATTGTCACACTTATGATTTTTGTTTTACGTAATATCAACCACTCTGGTAAGTACTGTACATAGAGTTCATGGAACAAGTTGCTCCCTTAGACTTGAACTCAACACTAAAGCTGTGTGATAACATTCTTCCCACTACCTTCTTTTGTTGGATTCTTCTTCTAAATCACTTCCTAACCTTTAGTGGAAGCCTTTTTTCCTCCTGTTCTTTCCATTGTATATATTTGTAAGTTTGGTAAGACTATCCAATTCTCATATTTATATTTTCCATAAAGCTTAGAGGTATATTTGGTTTTACTTGATATATATAAGGAAAGGTTGTCTCTCATTTATTTATTTCTTCTCATTTCAGGGTAAAAAGAAACAAAATCGAGGGTTCAATCTGGAGTCTTCAAAACGACGCAACAAATTTGAATTTTTTTCAGATTTTCCTGATGTTATGGAATCAGATGATGAAGGTGGCCCAGTGGCAGGACCCAGCCATACCATGGAATGAAGAGGTGGTCCCCAACACCACCACTCACATTATTTTTTATATTTTATATCAAATGTTTCTTGTATTGACAAAATTAGTGTCACTTTATTTTATATTTATATTCTATATCTTTCTAAACTGACGTACATTTTTTTTATTTAATAATGTTGTAGTCAGATTTTTCTTTTGTATTATGTGTGTACTGGTGCTGGGCTCATAGTCAACCTGCAGGCAGATAGTATGAACACTTCCTCTGTGTTCTGTACAGTGATAACCTGCTAGATAAGGTTCCTCCAGCCTTTGTGATACAGGTGATCATGGTTCAAATTTCTAACAGTTAAATGACAAAAGTAAGTTTTTGCCATCAACAGTCTTATTTCCCCGTTTTCTTATTTTTTATTTGTGTTCTATGATGTAATGTGAATACTGTCATCAAACGTATAAAATGTTTATGTACTAATATTGTGAAAATAGATGAGAAAGTAGTACAATATTGTAAAGATAATTTTACAAAGTGAGGGTTTGGTTGTCATGGCCAGGCATGGCAGCTCACAATGTTAGTGACTGACTTCACACAGTTAATGTCTGACAAGTCCTATGACATAAATAAATTTAAAATACATTTTGTATTACTGTACAGTATAATTACAGTATACTCCAGTATAATACAGTTTATATTCTAATTATCATAAATACAGTAAAGTTCAACAACACAAGACTTCACTTCACCAGAAATCTAAATATCCAGACTCTTCCAGGACCTGTCTCTACTTTTTGGGGAAAATCAGATAATTTTGAAGTACAGCACTGTAATGTATTCTGTTTTTGTTTAAAATTACTGTAGTTGGCCATCAAATTTTTACTGAACTGTTTATATTCATTGTATTATCTTGTACCCCAGGAACATTACCCAGAAAATGCATCATTTGAAAATCCAATTTAGTCTAGTTGAGTGGAGGTTGACTATTCTGTACTAAACAATAATCCTTCCATTAGCCGGGATCTTCAATCCCTGGAACTCTTCAATAAGAGGAAAAATTTCTCCATTCTGGGCATGGGAACGAATTTCCAAGGATTGCATCATTTGTACGACTCGGGGATACATGCCGGGCACATGGTTGGTTAGGCTCAGAGTGCTCATGAGCTACAATTGGCCACTATTGTCATGTGACAGCATGGGATGGCTGATACATCTTGCAGCCCATCTCCTCATACTCTTGCATCATGACTCTCTTAGTTCATTGTTTACTGCCATTGTACAAGCTTGTTCACTCGCTCACTGCTGTTTTCATATATGATCTGTGTTGTGCAATAATGTACATTACTGTATCAGTATAATTATAATCAGTCAAGAATACTGTTAAAGCAGTGTTAGGAAATAAAAAGTGTGATGCTAACTGTCTGCTACTAGTTGGCTGTGGTTCCTGCACCAGTCGTGCAGTTTGTGCATTCTTCTTTTTGTTGACATCAGATTGTGTCAGAAGTACAGTATGGTGTACAGTAATTAGACAAATTTAAGTATCTTTTCATTTTTAAATACTGAATAGTGAATCCAGGGTAGCCATTTTTTATATTAAAATATAAAATTCTTCCATCATAGACATAATGAAGGTGTCTTTGGAAAGAATTAGCAGCACTTTATTTTTGTAAGGGTACTGTACATTGTTCTTAGTGTTGTTGATTTTAATTACTTATTCTCAACTTCTGCTAAACATACTTGTACATAGATTAACATTTAGTTATTATCTTTGGTCATACATTTAGGTCATTTATATTCAGGTTCTTGTATGGAACACATGTATATACTGTACTGTTTAAGAGATCAGTAAATTTCTATTAGTATACGGTAGACTTTAAGGTCTTCAGAAACCCAGATTTTTTGTGGAAGTTTGTGGAGTTTGTTTTATGTAAATGAATTATTATTGTGTTGAAGACTTTATATTTACCTGTAATGATAATTTTAGAAGGGATTTTCAAGTTATGGTAAACCCTGCAGTTGTTCATGAAAAAAACGAGGATTTTTGTATGAAAATTAGTATCACCAGAAGAATAGCCCCAGCTTATTTCCCTGGATTGTAATGTGCTCTCTCTCTCTCTCTCTTTTTGTTAAACATTAAATGGAGTGTAGAAGGGAGGCGGTGTGTGAGAAGAGATAGGAGATGTGAAGAAGGTGGGGGCTGTGGTGAGAGAAGGAGGGAGGATTGTGTGCCCCCTTTACTCTGAGTGGAGATGAGACAGAGAAAATATGATTACTGTAGGAATAGAGGAAACCATTTAAAAGTTGGTTAGCTACTTGTTATTCCTTTCATAACACAAATGCATTCAGGTCACATCTATACTGTGACGTTTATACTAATCTAGGTTCATTTGTTTATGTTTACTCAGTAGGTTTGTTTCACTTCATTATATTCATGGTATTCTTTTTTCTGTCAGGCTTTAACTCAATAAATCAGGGATGATTGAAAATACTCTTAACCTTTTACTTTATTAATTTCAACAAGTTAAGATTGACAAAATCACTTTAAAGCCTATAATCCTAACTAAGGGACCACATTCTCACGGTATAACATTGAATGAGGGATGATCCACCAAGCACAGACACTACATCCTTACTGTCCTGCTTCCAGTATCAGACACCACAGGTTCAGCCAATCAAATCACAGTGCCCATGATATTACATCTATAGGTCCCTGCTATTGGCCACGGCCCCTACACATAGCACTCTCACTCCCTACACTGTCTTGATAAAACACCATAATGCAATCTAGGGGGAGGGGGGGGGGTCAGGCCAAGTTAGGTTATATTAAGTTAAAATAAGCTTATGATACGTTAGAATGGGTTAGCATAAGTTAGGCTTGATTAGATTACATTAGGATTGGTTATGTTAGAATAGGTTAAGCTAGAGTAGTTAGGTTGATTAATCTTAAGGTTGAATAAGCTGGGTGTCCTCATCTAAAGGTGATCCCCCAAAATATCATCAATAAAGGGGATTTTGGAAACACTTGTGAAAACATGTCTAAAAAAAACAATGACCAACTTCTCTGTCCTGTGTGTTATGAGTACAATAAAAGAATCCATGTCTAGGGAAAGATATAATTTTTGAGTTGTCTTTTTCAGTTGTTGAAAGATGGCCTTAGGCTGTGTGTGTGTGGCATCTGTGAACAAACCTAGGAAAGATAATTGCCTAGCCTAACCTATCCTATCCCAACCCAAGCCAATCTCGAGCTTTCTTTGATTTGGCCCGGTTTCAAGCCTGGAGCAAACGGAGTATCTTAGTATGCAGGTCTGATCTTCATCTCGGTAGTCTTGAGGGAATAGTGATAGCCACGGAAAGGTTCCCAGTTGACACCATCAGCAAAAGAAGTGTGGTTGCCTCTGTGATACTGGCCATTCAGGTTTGAATGATGACATGATTTGTACCACCAAGCACCTTTGAAACTGAAAGTAAAATTTTTTAGGATAACAATTCTCTTCCTCTATCTCATTTAATTGCACCACATGAGTGTGATTATATTAATGAATGTCATACAAAGAAATTATCATCATCGTTTCTCATGGACATTTTCTGCACTTTTCGTGGGTAAGCCATGATTTCCTGATGGCAGCTCCTAGGTGCAGTCTCTTACATCTTGTCATTTGTTTCTTGACTGTGATGTTATTTTTCATGACGTCTCCCTATGTCATTCTTGGCCTACCCCTGGCTGTCCTCCCGCCACATTCGAACTTTTGCATATCTTGTCCCAGGTGGTTACTTCCATTCTCTCCACATGCCCAAACCCTCTCAAATCACCTCCATGTAAACCAATACTCTCAACACCCAGCTGCCGTCTTAGTTATGTACGGGGATTTCCTATTTTCAATATCACGTTACATATTCAATCCATCTCACCATTGTCATTTGACTAGTTGAAGCCTATGTCTTCCTCTGTAACTGATCATGACTCGCCTTCGTACACCATTACATACCTCGTACTGGGTGCAAACAACTTGCCTTTCAAGCGAAGAGAAGGTCCTCTCGCTTTCAATAAAGGCAACTGCTTCATTTTACCTTTATTGTTGGTAAGAAATTTATAGGGTAAAAGGCTGGTAGTGTTATCAAAGAGGGGAAGGGGTACAGCATGTCAGTACAGTATTAGGTTAATATATGGAAGTGATAGAAATGTCGAGTAGATTGCAGGGTAGTGTGGTCATTTTGAGAGAGAGGAGTGAAAGGTGGCAAAAAGAGTTAAATTTTTACCACATGTTTGTACCATCTCACTATACCAATGCTTGTATCATCTCACTATACTTACTCATACATCTCACCACATGCTTGTATCATCTCACTATACTTCCTCATACATCTCACTGCACATGCTTCACTCTTGTCATTATTAATCTTATTCCCATTCTTTTGTTTTATGTTATTATTAATTTTTTGTATACTTCCGCAGTTTTTAATTTCACATCCTATACAATAACTCCTTCATGCAGACTTCTTGTACATTTCACACTTAACTTTTTCCCATACACTTACACCTTGGAGTATCTCTGATCTTAGCTGCAATACAAGTACTCTATTTTCAGTATTAACATTTCCAATGCCTTAAATATTAAACATAGATGAATAACATTTTCTTATTTTACCAAGCTATAGCTTCTAGTATCTTCTCCCATTCACTTTACATTTTAACTCGCATGAAATAAATTTAATTTTGCAGATCTTAAAATGTCCTTACCTTACAGCACAGTTACGATTGTCATCAATATCGACATCATAGTCCTTGGTGGTAAACATGTTGCCGTTGGTGTCGCTGAATCCATCTCCAGCATCACCAGTGTAGCCATTGACTTCTACTTTATAAGAGGAACGTTTGTCATGAACATAGAAGAATTGATACTGAGCCCAGCGTGTGTTATTGTTAAAGTCTGTGAGGTCAAAGCGTATTTGGTTGAACTTCTGGTATGTAAGAAAGTGGATGAGGTCGAGCCCCGCCCAAAACTCGCCAGAGAGGTGACCAAAGCCTAGTAAGTACTCCATCCAGGTGCGGTAGAAATCTTCTCTTGGGACTAAATCTTCTCGACGTTGAATGACCGTCCAGCCACCTCCGTCTGTGGTCATATCACAGTAGACTTGAACAAGAAAGGTGGGGCATAAATAATATGGATAAATGTCATACACTCCACTAGTTTTAAAGCCAAGTTTTCTCCATTCCAGGCAGTTGTTGTTTTTTATACCAAGTCTTGAAAACATCATTTTAGCGTGGTCAGTGTCATCAGTTGGGTTTTGAGCTTCTTTATAATTTCTGTGCAACAGGGTAGCACCTGCAGTTGAGTTATCAGCCACCACCATCACTGATGCACTACAGATGCCCACTACCATCATCACCCACACTGACTTCTCCATTATCACTTGACAAATCTAGAATATATAGAATGTGCATATTAAATTTCTTGTCATCTACTAATTTTCACCTTAAGCTATACAATACATCGAATTAATAGATCTTTTTAAGTTGTATGTACGGTACATATTATTCTTAGGTATAATCATCACATTTACTCAAATTAGATCAATCTGCAAAACAACTTTACATGGTGTTTGGTATATTACTATCCTGACTTCAATACAGGAGGTCCCTGGGTTACTAACAGGCTGTTCTTAAGTAGGGTTTGTTTGGAAGTCGGATCACATACTATGTGCATCCCGTACTTACAGAACAATGTTTAAAATCCCACTATATCATAGCTTAATTCCTTATATACATCTAAAATCACCTAATTTAAGACAACAAAATGGCAAAATACAATGAATAAAAAGTAAAAAAAATAAAGTCATCAGGTAAATAAAATACCGTAAATTTAAAATTTAACCCCGTTTGCATGAGTGGGTGTTCGTAAGTCAGGGACTGTTTACAGGATTCCCAGCTCATTTCACCCTGGAAATTAGGATATAATTTAACATTGAGTGAACTATCCTCTTATAGTCTTACAATCGTTACTACAACCACGGGAGACAACGACCACATATTCCGTTTGTGTGTTTCCTTACATCTTGCCACTAGGTTATAAACTTTGCCACTGCGAGTGTTTCTGAGGTGACTATCATGACAATCACACTACATGTCAACCAGAAGTGACTTACCATGAGCGCTGGTATGTCTGGCTTTGAAATGGCATCAATGTGTCGTGTGTGCTGCTTTACACCACTGTGCTCAGTGCCACTGTCCCCTGATGTCGGTAAGTGCACCCCCGCCCTCTCACTTATCTCTCCCGGCCAACTGTTCCAGGAACATCTTCCTCCCACACAACACTCCCCCCACACCCACCCTCCTCAAACCCACACCCCCCACACCTTCCTCAAGCCCCACCCCCAACACACACACCCCCACACCTTCCTCTGAACACACACCCCACCTTCTCTAGCACACACCCCACACCCCCCACCTTCCTCTGACACACACACACCTTCCCTCAGAAACACACACCCCCCACCTTCCTCTGAACACACACCCCTTACACCTTCCTCCTGAACACTCACACCTTCCTCTGAGCACACACACCCACACCTATCTGAACACACCCCCACACCCATCTCAGAACCTCACACCCCCCACACATATTCGCTCTAGACACACTCCCTCATTCATCTCAACCACCCACACCACAACACTATCAGACACACACACCCCACACATTCATCAGAACACACACACCCCCACACCTTCCTCCATCACCCCACCACACACATCCCCACACCTTCCTCTGAACACTCACACCCCCACACATTCCTCTGACCACCACACACCTTCTCTGAAACACACACACACCCACCTCTGAACACTCCACACACCCCACCTTCCTCTGAGACACACCACCCCTTCTCTGAACACTCCCACACACCCCACATTCATCTCCATTCCCTCTAGCACACACACACCCCACACACCTTTCCTCTGAAACACACACACCCCACCTTCCTCTGGCCTCACCCCCACACACTCTGAGCACACACACCTCTGAGCTCGCACACACCACCACACCTTCATCTAGTTACCTTCACTCTCAGCCTTCCTCACCTGCTCTGCACACACACACACCCCCCACACCTTCACTCTAGACACACACACCTTCATCTGAACATTCCTCTAGACACACACACACCCCCACACCTTCATCTCAGACACACACACACACACACACTTATTCATCTCAGACCATCTGCCCCCACATTCATCTGAACACACAGCCACACATTCCTCTGATAACCCACATTTCATCCTAGACACACCCCACACATTCACTCTAGACACACACACCCCCACACCTTCTCTGAGCCACACCCCCACATATTCCTCTGAGCACACCCCCACCTTCCTCTGTTTACCCCCACATTCCTCTGAGCACACACCCCACACCTTCCTCTAGACACACACACCCACACACCTTCACCTAGCCATCTTACACACCCACACCTTCCTCTGAGCACACACCCCACCTTCCTCACTCTGAGCACACACACCCCCACACCTTCCTCTGAACACACACCCCCCACACACCCCCACACCTTCCTCTGACACACACACCCCCACACCTTCACTCTGAGCACACACACCCCACCTTCCTCTGAGCACACAGACCATCTAGACACACACACCCCCACACCCCAACATCTCAGACACACTTCATCTCAGTTACCACACACCTTCATCTCAGACCCACACACCCCTTTCATCACACCTCTTTCCCCCACATTCATCTCTAGACACACCCCACATTCCTCTGAACACACACCCCCACATTCCTCTGAACCTCACCACCACACCTTCCTCTGAACACACACCCCCCACTTCCTCCTGACCACACTTCCTCCTGACACACACACTACATCTGAACACACACCCCCCCTTCATCAGACACACACCCCCACCTTCCTCTGGACACACACACCACAACTATCTGGTTGCCCCCACACCCCATCTCTAGACACACACACCCCACACATTTATCTGAACATACACACCCACACCTTCCATCTGAGACACACACACCCCCACATATTCATCTATTCTGCCCCCACACCCTTCATCTCAGACACACACCTTCCCACGCACCTATCTAGGCCACCCCCACGCATTCATCTAATTTTACACACCCCCACACATTCCTCTCAGACACACACACCCACACATTTCCTCTAGACACACACCCCACCTTCCTCTGGACACTCCCCCCACATTCTCTGAACACACCCCCACCTATTCTCCTGACACACACCCCTTCCTCCTGAGCCACACCCCCACACCTTCTCCTCTGAGCACTCCACACCCCCACCTTCATCTGGCCATCAGACACACCACACCCACCACCTTCCTCTGAGCACACACACCCTTCTCTTACACCTCCCACTCTGGATACACACCCTTCCTCTGAGCACACACACCCACACACTCTGGGCTTTTACACACACACACCTTCTCTGGACACTCTTTGCCCCACGCATTCATCTGAGCCACACACGCAGCCATCTCAGACACACCCACACCATCTCATTCATCTGCAGCTCTCTACATTCATCCTGAGACACTCCACCCCACATTATACTGACTAACACACACACATCCTCTGAACACTCACACCCCCACACCCTTTACTTAGACACACACACCCCCACCTTCCTCTAGCACACACCCCACATTCTCTAAACACACACACCCCACCTTCCTCTAGGCCTCCACACCCCCACACCTACTCTGAGCACACACCCCCCCTTCCTCTAAGCACACCCCCTTCCTCTGACACACTCACCCCCACCTTCCTCTAGCCTCCACACACCTTCCTCTGACACACACACACCCCACACATTCCTCTCAGACACTCACACCCCACATATTCCTCTGAACCCACACACATTTCATCTCTTTATATCTCAGACCCCACACCTTCATCTGGGCCTCCTTGCACATTCCTCTGGACACTCCCACATTCCTCTGGACAACTCACACCCCACACCTTCTTATTAACCTTCACTCTAACACACACACCACCTTCCTCTGAACACACACCCCCACCTTCCTCTGAACACCCCCACACCCCCTTCCTCTGACACTCCCACCCCACACTCTCCTAGGCACTCACACCCACCTTCCTCTGAACACACACCCCACACCTTCCTCTGACACACACCTCCACTGTTACTTCCCTGAACACACACCCCCACCTTCATCAGACACACACACCCCACACATTCACTCAGAGCACACACACCTACTATCTCTGGACACACACACACCACACACCTTCTCCTGAGCTTGCCCACACCCCCCACACATTCCTCTGAACACACACCATCACATCTTCATTGCACCCACACATTCCTCAACACCTCCTCTACACACACATCCTTCCTCTGACACACACACCCCACCTTCCTCTGGCCACACGCATTCCTCTGTCCCACCCCCACACCTTCCTCTGAGCACACACACCCCCCACCTTCCTCTGAGCACACACCCCACACCTTCCTCTGAAACACCCACACCTTCCTCTGGCACACACCCCACCTTCACTCTGACACACCCCCACCTTCATCTGAGCACTCACACCTTCCTCTAGTTGCCCACACACATCCTCTGACACTCACACCCCCACACCTTCCTCTGAGCACACACCCCCACACCTTCCTCTGAGCACACACACCTTCACTCAGACACACACCCCCCACACACCTTCATCTGAGCACTCACCACATTCCTCTGAGCACACACCCCCTTCATCTCGCTCACCCATCTCAGACGCACCCCCACGCATTCATCTAACGCTTACCTTATTCATCTGAACACACCCACCACACCTTCCTCTGAACACACCCCACACCTTCATCTCTGGCCCACACCCACCACACCTTCCTCTGAGCACACCCACGCAACTTCATCGGCATCACACCCACCCACACCTTCATCTGAGACACACCCCCACACCTTCATCTGGGCACACACCCCACACTTCTCTGAACACACACACCCCACACCTTCCTCTGAACACACACCACCACACCTTCCTCTGAGCACACACACCCCCACACCTTCTCTGAGCACACACACACCTTCACTCTGAGCACACATCCTTCCTCTGAGACACACACCCCATTCATCTAGACACACACACCCCACACCTTCATCACACACACACATTATCTAGAACTCCCCCCATCTAGACACACACATAAATATCTAACACCCTTCATCTCAGACACACCACCACACATTCACTCCACACCCCCCCCACCTTCCTCCTGAACACCCTTCCTCTGAACACACACCTTCCTCTGAACACACACCCCCATTCCTCCTGACACACACCCCCGCCTTCCTCTGAGCACACACCTTCACTCTGAGCACACACCCCCTTCCTCTGAACACACACCTCCTCTGTTACACACCCCCACCTTCACTCTGAACACACATTCCTCTGGTACACACACCCCCACACACCTTCCTCTGAACACTCACACACCTTCCTCTGAACACACACCCCTTCCTCTGAACCTCACCCCACACCTTCCTCCTGAGACACACGCCCCATCTGGACCTCCCCCCACACCCTTCATCTGAGACACACACCCCCACACACTGCTTCCCCATCGTTGCACACTTGCACATTCCTCCTGGACACACACCCCCCACATTCCTCTGTTTTACCTTCATATCCTAGACCTCCACACCCCACACCTTCCTCTGAGCCCACTCCACACCCCCACACCTTCCTCTGAACACACACTTACATCTGAACACTCCCCCCACACACATTATATAGACACACACCCCTACACCTTCCTCTAGACACACCCCACACCCATTCACTCCTTACACACACACCCCACACCTTCCTCTGGGCTTCCCCTTCCTCTGACACACACACACACCTTCCTCTGAGCCTCCCCACACCCCCACCTTTATCTGAGCACACACCCCCTTCCTCCTCTAGACACTCCCCCCACACCTTTATCCTAGTTTTACATCTAGACACACCCATCTCAGTCCTTTTTCCACATTTCATCTCGCCTTCACACATTAGTGTCCTGTAGTGCCTTGATATAAAACGTATGTCATTTATGGTTATTTGGCTTCATGTTGGCTTCCACATATGTTATTAA